CGAACTATCACAAGGTGAATCGCAACTTACCCAGGCCCCCAAATCAGTGAAAACACAAGCTTTGAAGCAATCTATGAAGAGGAAACATCACCGAAGGTGAATCGCAACTTGCCCAAGCACCCAAATCAGTGAAAATCGCAGTTTTGACAAGAGGAGGTGGGGGAGAAGGGGGAGAAAAAGAAAAGGAAGAAGGAGAGGAAGAGGAAGAAGAAAAAGAAGAAGAAGAAGAAGAAGAAGAAGAAGAAGAAGAAGAACAGAAGCAGCAGAAGAAGAAGAAAAAGAAGAGGAAGAAGGAGGAGGCCTTCCTCCTCTTTCACTCACCTCTTGCTGGTCTCTAGGCAGTGGAGTGCCAATGCTTGGTTCTAGCCTCCTGGGTATGGCTTTTCCTCTCTCCCAAGGTCTCTCCTCCTTCCCTCACACCTCTCCTTTAGCTATGGCAGGTTCCTACTTCTAAGGTTGTGGAGTCCTTCCCTCTAGAAGGGCTATGGGGAGCCCTTTCAGCCTCTCCTCCTACTTCACAGCCTGAGGGCTATGGCGGACCAATCTCCTTGCTCCCTCCTAGCCTCTAGGTCACCTTTCTCAGCCTTACCACCATAGCCAGGCTACAGGCTGGCTCCGGCCCTCACTCCCTTGCTTCTTTCCCACTCGGACTCTTTCCTGGACTCGTTTGGGCAGCATGGGCACCTCTCATGCTCAAATGAGAGTTGTGGCCTACACCTCCAGCTTATATAGGCTGGAACGAGTGCACCGCCCAACCTCTAGGCCCCTCCAAGTGCCTCTAGGTGGAGCGAGGTACCCCAAAGGCCAAATTTTCAGTTTTGGCCTCTCCGGGGGTACCTGGGCCTCATTTTGGCCAGGTACATGCAGTCTGAGAGGCTGGTACCCTCTCGGACTACCCCTTGGCCTACCCCGGCCTCTTTTTACCTCAAAAAGTGCTGCCTTTTGGGGTACCCTTTCCCAAAATGCAGCCTTTACTGAAAATTGAGGGTTTCAAGGCCCATTTTTCGCCTTTTTCTTGGTCTAGGCCTCCTTTGGGTAGGCCGTTGCATTTTTCCAAGTGGCGGCACAGATCTCAGCCTTGGATTTGGCTGAGATCTATGGTTCTCATCATTCCGAGTTACTCCAAGCCCCCTTGCTCCAAATTTGAGTCTTTTGCTCCAATTTTCAATTTTTTTTGAAGTACCTGGCCCAAACCTTGGGCCAAATTCGCAGTTTTGTCTTGTTCCTCTCTTTGTTTTCCCTCCATTTTGCTGCCAACTCATTCTGGAGCTAGCCGTTTTGTGTCAGCTCACAAAAAACGGCTAGATCTCCTCCTCCACAAGATCAGATCTCAGATCTAAGGCCCAAAAATGAGCCGGCCAAGTCACATCAACATTTTTCTTTATTTTTGTTGCTTAAATTCAGATATTGCAGAGATAATACCCCAAGGTCCTTATCTCTGCAATCCG